CTGGCGCTCGACCTCAGGCGGCCGCAGGGCGCGGCGGTGCTGCGGCGCCTGTGCCGGGCCTGCGACGTGCTCATCGAGCCCTTCCGCCACGGTGAGCGCCGCCCCGCCCGGGCAGGTGGGGGCGCTGCCCCCGGGGAGGGCACGAGACTGCCCGCGGGGCGGTTCCAAATCCGGGCCTAGGCCGAGGAGCGGCGCCGAAAGTGTCGAGTCGGTGCTTGAAGCAGCTTCAAAAGCTCCCCGGGCTTTACAGGCGCTGCAGAGCCGGGGTTTAATGTAATGAGCCGGCGAAGCGTTGCGAGCCCCTGTGCCTCTTTCCAGCGGGCGCTTGAGCCCCAAGTCGGCCAGCCAGGACCCGCCGGGTTTAAGGCCCAGCAGGAGCATCGGCACGGCCCGGCAAAGTCCAATGTCTGCGTCACGCCGGAGCGGTCCCGGTCCCAGTCCCGTTTGGGTCGTGCCAGGGCGTTCCCCCGAGTAGCCCCTTTGCTGTAGGAAGGAGGCCCTGCCTTCCTCTTACCTCCGCTCCTGCCTGGGCAGCGTTTCCCTGGTCAGCACCCACAGGCTTCCTTCGCTCGTTCAGGGGGCAGTGGGTGCTGGCCATCGTGCTCTGCCCCGTCTCCTTCCGGATCCCTTCTTACTAACCTGTGACTGCATTCCCCCTTTCCAGTTTTCTCTTTATTTATCCCCTGGAACTAGTGGGCTCCCTTATTAAGAGAGTCTTATTGTATCCCATGATGGGCCCATGATCTTTGGGCACGTCAAACAGGCCTGTCTGGGCAGGCGTCAGCCTCCGATGCAGGAACCGTTGTTCCTTGGGGCCCCGAGGCCAGGTCCTGGTTCCCCGCTAGTGGATGGCAGAAGTGTGGCATGAACATGGCCCTGGGTAAACCAACCAGCCCACATCGCTAATAATGTCCATAATTGCTGAACTTTGCAAACGTGGCATGCTCTTTGCGATGTATTGTTGGGGAGGGGGTTTTTTGTTTAACTTTTCTCAGGCTGGACGATGAAAGCTACTAGAACCATTTTGTTTCTGTTTGTAGCTGGTTTTCTGTATTCCACATTTGTATTTTCAGATTCTTCAACCTAGATCCTGTGATTGGATTTAAGGAAACACCTGGATCAGACCCTGGAAAAGTTCCTCAGTCTGTGGTTAAAATAGGCAGTCATTGAACTTGACATTTCATTTTTGCAGAATGAAGCGATTTTTTTTTTTTCCTCCTGTCCAGGAGCTCACTGTGACTGAGTGGAAATCATATTTTTAGCATGGGGGGGCAGCTGAAAGAGCTATACCTGTGTGTAATTATCAGGGTGGATGGATTTAAATAGACAAGTGGGAAATCTCAGTTGAAATCACTGATTTGAACTGATGTTTCCATTTGTACTTTGGCTGTTTTCCAAAGCAGCGGTTCTCAACCTCCTTAGGCTCAAGGCATCCCTCTAACTTTTGTGAATTGAGCAGCACCCCAAGTCAAAACTGAACTGGTTTATCACAGTGCTTATCTCCTTGCAGCAGGCTGTGGGGTCGGTATGGGCCAGGCAGGGAGAGCCTGAGCCTGCCCTTATCTCCTCACACCTAAGGGTGACCATCAAAGGATCTTGCAGCACCTTAGTTGAGAATCACTGTTTAACAGGATTATGCCTTCTCTTTGGCTGATACAGTCATTCAAATGAAGATTTATCACTAAAGAAAGCCTTCATATTAGACAAGGTACATCTTTTTTCTACCAAGGAGGTATACTGTAATGTTCTGTTCTCTTGTACTCAGCCCATCGATTCTCCACGGATTCAGAGTACACGGCCTTTTGTACCAAACTTGTCTCAAAGTGTTTTTTCCTTGTTTCTTTTTTTTCCTTCTGTAAAAAGTGTGCAGCCTGTAATTCATAGTTTTTGGTAGAGGCTCATGGATTCGTCATCTTTTTTTTTTATTACTTAAATATTTTAGAAGTTAAGAGTAACCATAGGCTTTAACATATTTTAGATTAAATTTAGATTTAATGGGTTTATTTTTTTCAAAAGAGAAATATGATAATTTAAGCAACAAAATCAGTAATCCAAATACATAAAATTGTAAGGACCAAGTGATGATATTTCAAGACCAGTTTGGGAAGAGATTTCCATTTCTTAGCTGCGGTAGTGAAGAAGACATGAAAACGGTTTTAAAAGTCCAGCATTTTTCTTTCCCCCTCCAAGTACACTCTTCTGCTGTACTGCTACGATGCAAGAGACAGAGCTTTGATTAAAGTTTAACAAATGTCAGGTGTAAACAGTGTAGAAAATGGACTTTCAACTTGAAGAATTAGTGTTTTAAAAGTCACATTTTAGAGAAGAGAGATTCAGGCTATACAAGTGCTCACTTCTGAAAATTCAGATGGACCAAACATCTATTCCTTTTGATTTCTGAAAAAAATATTCTTGAGCTTTAGTGTACAAAATCAAATGTTCATTAGTGCAGTTTGTGTAAAGCAGTGTCTGAGTGAACAATAACTATAGTTGTTTTGCTCGTATGAGCACTAGGCTAAAGGTAACTGCAGCAGAAGACTAAAGGAGAACTGCATTGAGCAGGCGAGCAAAGTGCTATGGTCTGATAAAGGAGAAATCCTGAAATAATTATGACCTAGAGGTTCTGCTAGTGGAGCACATTAGCTAAGAGCTTTTCCTCTTTCATTTGCCACACCGCCTGGCATTTGAGACCTCTCTGTCTCTTTAGCTTGGCTACATTCAATGGTACATAAAATAGGACGCTGGCTGGGATGGTTCTTGAGGATTTGGAAAATGTTGAGGGAACTGGAGAGAAAGAAAGGATCCTTACGCTAAATTTACTTGTACTGTAACATGCATTTAATAGAGCATAACTTGGTGTATTACTGGTGGCTGATATTTTTCCATATTAGTTGTATTTGAAAGAATGTTGCACAGTGATTGTAATACATTAAAAATAACAACAAAACATTTTACAGTTTTTTACATTAAACCTTTTTGAGTCTGTTTTAAAAGCAACGATGTGAGTTGGGATTAAACATTTTGTCTTCTTGTGAAGGTGTCATGGAAAAGCTTGGTCTTGGTCCAGAAATCCTCCTGGGTGAGAATCCAGAACTCATTTATGCTAGACTTACTGGATTTGGTCAGACAGGAACATATGCCAAGTCTGCAGGTCATGACATTAATTATTTGGCTTTGTCAGGTATGTTGTAAAACTTCATGTTAAATTTACCTTATTTTTTCTAAAATCTTGAATTCAGGTTTTAAGAGAGGTCCTATTTGAACAGCTCAGATAACCAACTATGTTGTTCTTTAGGTTTTTCTTCTTTACGTTTTCTGTGGGTGGAGTATTTTTTTAAATGTTAAAATAATCGTATTTGTAGTTTTTACCTTCTTTTGGGTGACTCTTACTTGCCGTGGGTAATCCTTCAGGTCTTTCATGGTCTATCATGTATTGCTGCTCTCCCTCACCATCACTGCTTACAGTCATTGTTAATGAAGGGTGTCACAGTCTTGACTTCTACTGAACTTCATAATAAAAAGCATACTGCCTGCAAAATCGCTTTCTTTTCCCTGATACTAATTTCTGCAATACTATTTTGTGTAGGTTCTGGCTGTTGTTACTGTAATTGCTTATTGCAAGATATGAAACACAAGTAGCAACACTATAATTCAAACTTTTGGCCCTTTTTTCATAGAATGGATTCTGTCAGCATTTCAGTTTTGGAAAGAAAAGTTCGGAATAGTAAATGCCTTGTTTGTAAATTATTTTCTAGACTTCCAGTAGTCAGGGGCAGAACATCTGAATCGGAACTTGTGAGCACTTTCCATAGCAAACTATGAACCCAGTTTTTTATGCACAAACAGAAAAAGCACAGCTGTGGTTTGCCTGCTGGGGGGTGGCCACCCCTTCCCCACCATGTGTGGCTGGAATTCTGATCCTGGGGCAGCAGCTGCAGCTACAGCATAGCCCTTGTTTCATGTATAGAAAGGGTAATGGCCGAGAGCATGCCCACCCTCTGCCGTGGGTGGCCAGGGTTTGCATCTTCCCTGGAGCTGCCTCTATTCATTGCCCACATGGCATCAGCTGGAGGCAGCATCTCTGCTGTGGGCATGGGGGAAACAGGAGCATCCTCCTATTGGCCCATGGATTAAGTGTGCGCCTTAGAGGTGACTTTGTAGCTCTCTAGTCAGGGGCCTGGAATGCTTGCACTCTGCAAAGTGCTGAGATGCTTTGGAGCAGCTACAGCTGAACACCTGTCTGTACCCTGATTTTACTTGACTCCATGTAACATTTAGGGGCTCAGTTTGCAGGCTTGCATCTATGTGATTAGGTACCTGAAACTGTTTAGACATCTCAAATCCCATTTTATATCTCAGAAATCAGAACTGACATGCATACTAGGTATCTAAATATAAAAGAGCTAAGAAAGATGACTGATATGTTCAAAATTTTTCAGTTGTACCATTGAGGAAATAAAGAAGCTTTGATCCCTATTGCCTGAAATACTTGATTCAAAGTGACAACATGTTTTATTTCCATTGTTGCACTAGATTGACTGTATGACCTGTAGCAAGTGAACCATCTTTTTCTGTGTCTGTGTTCTATGCATTGAATAGGAATGACAGTATTGTCTCTTCCTTATTTCACTTTCCTTTATCTCCTGTCCTATTCTTTTTTCCCAAGGCTGTTGACTTGGATGTATTTGTGTGAGGTCCTTCTTATGACTTTTAGTTAATGGACTGTTTGGCCAGTGCTTGTAATTGTATATTAAAAAATAACAACAAACAAAACAAGCTCACTTATGTGCTGTGAGTCTCAATTCATGTTGGTAAAACCCATTGATTTTTTTTCTTGAAAGGTACTACATAAATACAGAGTATTATGCTGACATTTAATTAATGCAGTTGCTGGCAATTAGTATTATCTTGTGTCATTTATTAGTAGCCTAAATCTCATTGGGTGTTGAAAGCTGTACTGAAAAATCTATCTGATGAAATAATAAACTATTAATTAATATAACTTTAAATATTGTAGTTTTATGAACAAATGAGCAGTTTGCTGAGGTATGACTAGAATCAAGTAATGTTTAGAAACTAAGGGGTAAGGAAAAGTCTGTTTATCCTCATCTATGCTACTGCCATAAATTCAAGAAAAGGGGATTTTAACATTGGAAAAAGAAAATCTAGTAGTCATTCATTTTGTAATTTTTTTCCTTTGATGTCCAGGTGTATTGTCAAGACTTGGTAGAAAAGATGAAAATCCATATGCCCCACTAAATCTTCTGGCTGATTTTGCTGGTGGAGGGGTCTTGTGTGCAATGGGAATTATTATGGCCCTTTATGAACGTACCAGATCTAACAAAGGGCAAGTCATTGATGCAAGTATGGTGAGTTTTCTTTATTAGCTATAGTTTTTACAAACTCTAATTCTGCAGAAGGCCTGGGAGTTAGAGAAATGAAAAGCTAAGCAACCTAACAGGACATCAACTTTTACTCATGGGCAAGTGTCTCATCGCACCTGGCTGCTGCTGTCCTACCTTAAGCCAAAGACCAGAAACTACAACCTTAGTTCTGCCTTTTACGAATGTTAGTGTCCACGTCTCCCTTCACTAAATGATCTCCTCTTAACACTATTAGTTGCACATATTTGCTAGCACAGTTTATATTGTAAAGGGGTTGGATTAGATTTTATATGCCTCCAACAGCTCTCAGGATGCACGGTGACAAAAAGTCTTTAATTTTAACATATTTTTTAAAACATACCTATTTTATCCTATCTAAGATTAAATTGTCTTACAATATATGTATAGACAAGGTCTTTTGAATGGTATCAGTTAAAAAAAAAAAAAAACGGCTGGGAATAAAATGTCAACCAAATGTTAATTTTAACTACTTGTAATTAGTTTTATTAAAAAAAAGCAAAGATACTAGGTAGGAAATTCAAAGTGTTTCCAGATGAGCACTATGACATTTCTTTTCTTCTTCTTTAACCTTATCTTTTAAAGCAAACTTAACTAGAGTTAAAATCAATGTCTCTGTAATAATATTGTCATTGTTATTATTGGCAACCACTATTAATTAAGGCAATTATTCATTTTGTGCTCATGATGCCAACATAATTGCATTAAGTCATTTCAATGTAATTAAGAATTCTGACAAGTTGTAGAATTTCCAAAGGGTTTCTTTTCTCAGCCTTTTTCCATAGCTTTAAAATGACTTCTTATGAAGTTTTCACCTTCTTCCACATAGTAGTTGACTATTTGTTAAGACTCCATGAAATAGCTTCTTGTTGAAGTGTCTTAAAATCCTCTTGGAATTTTGAGTGAGACAAGGGGTTGTGGTATTTGTTATTGGATCTCCTCAAATTTAGGTAGCAGTATTGGAAGCAAATAAATACTACTTGGTTTAAACAGATATAGATATGCATTGGCAATGCAGTGGAATCCTAGAATTTGCCATGACAATAATGAAGTCAACATAAAGGTAACAAATGCTTGGGTCAAGTGACACCAGACCTTTTTGGAATTCACTTAGAAATATACGAATATTCCTTTAGCCCCATTTTAAAAAGTAATCATTTGGTTTAAAAATTAAAATGTGACATCACTTCTCATGTTTTAGTGCTGTTTGTCCTCATCATCACTATGTGCTTATTAGCGTATAGTTTATAATGTCCTGTCTTTCTCCTTCCACTGAAGTCTCTGTTTTAGAGAATGTGCTGGCCATGTTACTACCCAGTGAGTGTGTCTACATGAGATGCCTACTGCTCAGTTGTTACTGTGCAGTCATTTAGTACTTGCATAACCATGTACTAAACAACTGGGCGGTAACCGACATTGGTATACAGTA